TTTTTAAACTATTTAAGAAAAACAAAATATTGTCTCTTGTTTTCTAGTCTTAACATGAATATTATGTTATTATGTTACGAACAAAAAAAACTTTAACTTAATTCCGAAGTTCAGATGAGAAAGAAAACAAAATATAGTAAGAATTCTAGTTAGATTTTTAGAGGTCTTACTAAATATTATCCAAGTTAATTGTTTATGGATTTTAAAAATATTTTAAGCTAGTAACTTTTAATGGAAATTTAAATAGATTAAAAATAAAGTAAAGAAAATGTGAGATGATAATTTTGTTGACGTTACACATTAGGGTGTTGTTGAATTTGGGGTAAACATAGTTGAATGTTTGTGAAAACGCTAGTATGAATTTAATAGAGATTTTAATCTGTTAACAACTCATTTATTGTGTATATATATTTTCACAATAGTTGTGTTTCATTTAGAAAAAAAAAAATATTTGTGTTTAGTTAAATTTTCACAAAGTGTAGTTAATTGAGTCAACAAAAAATGTAATAGCCATTTTTAATGCGAAAGGGTCTATTGACCAGCTAGCTCTAATGTCTAATCAATGGATTAAAAAAAAAAGACTAGTACTGTATCATTTTTACATTAAACAAGTCTTCGAATAACATGATTATTACTCATTTTCCTCAATATGAACATTAATACTATTATTTTGTGAAGTGTCACGAGTGTAATCTTTCGTTGTTGTTTTTTTTTTGTCACCAGTATAATCTTTCTGTTTTATCTTCCTATAACATTTTATAAATATACAGCATCCGGTATGCATCTAGGTTTTTTTTCTTCCGAGTTCTGTCCGAAAACTTTTACAAGAACTTTATATGTACTAATGTATGGGCGTTACAAAAAGAAAAAGATGGTTCCTATGATATTCTTCTTGTCCCCACTTAATACATAAGGACTGGACCGATGCTAATATCGATGTTCTTTCTTTTACAAAAGTAAAATCTATAAATTACACGATCCAATCCATAACATAAATCATCCGATGAGTTAGCATTTCTTAACGCATATATACCTTACATATATTCTTTTATAAAGTTTTGAATGGTTATGAGCTAAACATGCAGAAGCAATAGCCAGAACCATGTGGATGAGTTTCGGTTCCAATGAAGAGATGGTCTGACTTAACGCGACTAACTAAAAAAAAACAAAATCAAATGCAGCTGTGAAAATGTCGAATAGTTAGTGTAAACATTTTATAAACTATCATATTTTTAACCAATTTTTTTTTTTTATGTTCAGTCTATTCCATAACCATAGTTGGTTAATGCAACCGACGGAGTTCAATGTATTGAAAGAGAAATCTTAATGAAAAGAAAAGGATGTGATGAAAGTTGTTAAAATCGTAA